AATGTTTGCAATGACATATCAGACAAAGAACTAGTCTATAAAATTTATAGAAAACTACAACATTGGTACAAGGAAAAGATAAACAATTCAATTAACAAATGTGCCGAGGTCATGAAGAGACACTTTACCAAGTTAGACATTTAGACAGTCAACAAACTCTCATTAACAATTGATGGTCATGGTGGTTGTGTGCCACTGAGTCGGTTTCAATTCACCATAACCCTGTATAGTGTTTCTGGGGCTGCAACTCTTAGCAAGAGGAAAAGGCTACATTTTTTTTTTTTTTTTTTTCCCGGCAGAGCAGCTGGTAGAATCAAACTGCTAACCTTGCAGTTAGCAGCCCAATTTGTAATCCACTACAATACTGGGGCTCCTTTCACTAACCATTGTTGATGTTGTTGTTAAGTGCCATCGAGTCAATTTCAATTAGAGAGGTGCAAATCAAAACAACAGTGAGATACCACCTTACTCTAGCATTAATAGCAAAGTTCAAAATAAAAAAAGAAAACCGCAATCACTGGTGAGGGTGTAGAGAGTCTAAGACCTTCCTACATTGCTGGAGGGACCATAAAAGTGTTCAACCACTTTTACATCAAGCAGTATGGTGCTTCCTCAGAAAGTTGAAATAGTACTGTATGCCCCAGTATTCCCTGTACTTGGTATACATCCACAAGAAATAAGAGCTAGGATATGAGTAGATATATACACACTAATATTCATCACAGCACTATTCACATTAGCAAAAAGATGGAGATAGCCCAAATGCACAACAATGGAATAATGGATAAACAAACTTTGGTATATACACAAAATAGAATATTATGCAACGTTGAAGAATAAAGGTGAATCTTTGAAACACCTCATTAACATGGATGAACCTGAAGGACATTATACTAACTGAAATAAGTTAATCACAAAAGGAGAACTATTGTATGAGACCATTATTGTAAAGTCTTGAGAATTTTTTTCATGCTAAAAGAAACTTTTTTTATTTTATTTTATGGTTACCAGGAGTGGGAGGGAAGGAAGCATAATTTACTGGGTAGAATGCAGACATAGCCTAACTTGGGTAATGAGTAGGGCAATATACTAGAAGAGGGAGGTTTGCAGAAGAGTGATGAAAACAGGTGAAGACACACGGATGTATGCAGGGCCTAAAAGGGATTGAGGTAAATAGTGACATATATATATATATATAACCTTAGATTAAGAGTGTTCTGAGGGTAGATACATGCAAAAATATACAGGCTGAACTAGCATGAGAGGAAGAATGGGAGTATACCCCAAAATATCAGAGTTTAAAAGAGGATAATAGTACATGGGTATTTACTTGCTCCAAATACAATTATGAGCCTGGTGGAGCATACATCTGGAAAAGTGATGAAAGCTTCTTAGGTATTTTCAAATATCTTAAGGCAATAAGTTGCTAGGCCTGTAGACTCATTACCATAGTCTCAGGGTATACCCTGATAAATTGGTATAACATTGTCCACAAAGACATCCTACTTTGGCGAGTAGCATCTAGAACCTTAAAAGCTCATGAGTAGTACTACTATTGGTCTTTTCATGAGCAGAAGAAAGAATGGTGATTAGAATTGAAGATGCTTGGAATCAATTAGTGCAATGGATTAATGGAACATGTGAACATCAGTTTTCATGACTCTGAGACCAAAAGAACTAGATGGTACTTAGGTAGCAATACTAACTGTGCTGAAAGAGATCACATTAGAAGATCTTCGATAGTGTGGAAGAAAATGTAGATCAAACCTAAAAATTATTAAAAAAAAAAAAAAAACACAACAAAAACAAAAAGAAGAACTGGGCTTACTTGTCAGAAAGTAAGGTATGCTCACTATGGAGTAGCCAATAGTTCAAATTCAGAAGGGCAATATTTACCTAAGAACATGATGAGAAGGGATGGGATAGTGAGTGGAATGGAAATAGGATACACAGGGAGGAAGTGGGTGACTGTTGTTGCATGGAGCAATATCAAGTAAGCTGGGATCATCATTCAATAATTGTGATGAAACAAAATGTATGATTTGTTGAATGTGAAACTGATGATCTTATCTGTACCTTTATTCAATTCACAATACAAAGTTAAAAATAAGTCAAACCAAAAGACTAATGGATCAAGCAAACATCAGCCTCCATGACCCTGCAACCATGTGATAGTTAAAGTTTGATTTCAACTTCAATGGGCCTGAATTCTCAGTGGATTGGCAGTTAAGAAGTAGTGAGGGAGATGCACAAGAATGCATAAACTTGCAGATAGTATCCATTTGAACTAGTTTTGATAGTTGGATGATAAGAACTTGACAAGAGGAAGATTTTTAAAAAAATGATAAATGAAACAAGTGTAAATTGCTACAATTTGACAAACTCGAGGAAAGGAGTCTTCACATCAAGGATCAATCCTATCCCTTCTGTATACAGGATTGATAGGGATGGGCAACTTAGACATTGGCTATCTAAAAAGGAGGGGCTATAAAGGTGCAAAGTGACTCACTTAGAAGTTTTCAAGAGGGAGTTCAGATTCAGAGTGTGTAGAGGAAGGCAGAATCCCCACTGAATAGTTTTCATCTTGCCTAGACAGGTCTCGTGAAAGGAGATGGGGATAAGATTCTTATGATTCAATAATGAATAATTGTTATCATGACTAATTGCAATTGTTACAACTGTAAAGGTAGAACTTTTGTAACATAAAAGGGGGGGGGTAGTTAATCTTACATTCTAGGAACAGAGGACCCTAGGATAATCAAGGGAGAAGAGAACAATCATCAAGAGAGAGGAGCATAAGTGGGACCCTATCCAGAGAAGCAGTGACACCAGAGATGGAGGCAAAGATGATGACATGGAGAGACAGAGCAGCTGAGGACTCATGGAAAGAGAAAGGCAGCATGCTCGCGGCCAGGAGGTAGGCTTGCAGAATGTGCCCTTTGGTTATTTAAATGACCATATTATATATTCCTGAGTGTGTGTACATCCAAAAACAAACAAACAAAAAAAACCCAGAAGGAATAGAAGCAATAGAAGCAAATACTATTGAATGATAATGCACGGAGGGGATTGTAATCATAGCAATGAAATGAAATATGATAGGAAGAGTTTAAAACCCGATATTCTCCCATGCAAATATCAGTCAATTCACAATAAAAACTTAAAAATATCGAAATATAAAAGAAGTAGTAATCCTCCATGAGAAGTTCTGGTATGGTGGTGTAGGATAAGCACTGTTCTACTGAGCACCAGGTAGGTGGTTCAAACCCACCTATCCTATGAGGGATCTCTATGAGTTTGAATCAATTTGATGACACACAATAACAGCAGTCTCCCATGATGAGATGTGCTATGAGTAGCTAATCATCTGAAAGGAAGTTTCCTCAGAGGTGTGGCCAGCTTCCAACATATTGAACACTAGGGTAATGCTTGCTTGCTTTCTGCTGGGTCTGGATTCTTCATCTGGCTTGCATTCAACCTCCAGTTCTTTGAATGTGAGCCAGTAGCCTGCTCTATTGCCAGCTAATCCTGGTAGTCATCAACAGCTAGACAAATTATCAGTTTAAAATGCTGATCAAGGTTCATCAGCCATTCAGCTATGAGATTCAGAAGTCACCATTGTGATACCTGAACCATGAACTTGGGACTTGTCCACCTCTATGATTGTGTGAGCCATTTCCTTAATATAAACCTCTCTTTATATGTATGTATATATACAAACTTCACTGATTTTTTTTCTCTAAGAATACAGCCTAAGACAGACCAGAAGAACAAGATGGTGCCTGGATACAACTACTGGCCACAATGAAAGAGATCACAATAGATGGTCCTGGATAGAGTAGGAGGAAAGTGTGGAACAAAACTCAAAATCGTAAAAAAAGACCAGTCTTACTTATCTGATTTATACCCTCGGAAACCCTGTACAGGGTCGCTATGGGTCGGAACCGACTCGAAGGCACTTAACAACAACAACAACAACAACTTATCTGATAGTGTCTGGTAAAACCCCTGAAATAATAACCCTTAGTCAGGCTTTAGGAATGCAAATGAACTTACTCCATGTTTCTACTCTCAGGCAAACAATACCAAAACTCATTGATATCAAGTAGATTCTGATTTATAGCGGCCTTATATAGGGCTTCCTAGGTTATAAGGTGAACAATAATACCAGGGACATATACACTCCTTAGAACAATCAATCATACCAGATCAAAAGGGCAGCATTTTCCCAGGGATGCAGATCAGAAGGTAGGAATGAATAGAAAAGAAGGATGAATGAAAAGAGTGAACACAGGAAAGTATTGGGAAGAAAGTTGTTACATTGTGGGGACTGCAATCAATGCCATGAATCAAAAATGTGTATCAATTGTTGAATAGAAAACCAATTGCTCTGAAAACTCCCACTAAAATCACAATCAAAATATTAAAACACAATATTTTCTGACACAGTCCTGGAAGATGAGCCCCCTAGGTTGGAAATCATTCAGAATAACAGTGACCTCAAGAATGGACTCAGACATACCAAATATTATAAAGATGGCACAAAACTGCACATTTCATTCTGGTGTGCATGGGATGCCATAATTTGAATCCAACGTGAACACAATTACCAACAAGAGGATAAGAAGATGCTGAGGTTGGGGATCAGTCTGGTTGGACTAGGACATTCTCTAGGTAAGATTAGAAGCTCAGACAGTAGTGGGATAATGTCAGAATCTATAGAGGGTTAGAAACTCAAAATATGTTCAGGGTTAAGAGTAGTATACGGATCGATGTTTGAGCAGAACTAAGGCTGAGTCATAATGAAGAAAATATCTAAGGTCTGCTTCCAGATCCATTGTGTTTCGTACAGATAAATATAGGCTGTATCTTAGTACTGACCAATGTAGTATGTTCCAGGATTCTTACTGCATTTTTTTTTTTTTCCCTAAGAGAAAGCAATAGGGTTGAAGTAAAGGTGCTGCATATCCTTTGCCTCTTCACTGAATGTCTTCACTTACCAGGTTCAGCGGCCAGTGGCTGGCTGTTACTAGATTCTAGCACTCCATGGGCATGCATAGAGTAGGGACGGCTGGCATTATTCTTGAATACCACATTCAAAATATCACCAACCTCTCCTCTAATAAGTGGACCTAATAAATGCAAAAGTAGAAAAAGTCCCATTAGTGAAGGAGTGGAGGAAAGGCATTAAAGAAAGGTGTGTTTATGGACACTCCCTAGAATTAGGTGTTTGCTTCTCCACAGGATGAGGGAACTTCAACAACAGAATTGTGCCTATAATTCTCTTTGCTTCTCCCACCCCATTCCTGTCTCTACAATAGCACAAGGCCCTAGGAAATCAGAGATTTATGGAATTATTCATGATAAGGAGTGAAAGTTTGGTCAGAATACAGAGTGGTTAGTGTCTTTTCAGAGGCCAGTGGGTCCCTTTTGGTCCAGGAAATGAATGAGGAAGCCCACTAGCTCCTACAAAAGTGAAAAACAAAAAACTGTAGCAAAAATTAAACTGAGTTAAGCTGAGGTACAGGAGTAATACTGGTTCCCTTTATCATTTTTTCCTACATATATATATATATATATATATATATATAAATTTACATCTGGCTTTAGCATCTGTTTAAATATATCACCCTAAGAAACCCATACATATAAAGGCCTGGAAAACCTAGTTCAAGTTGCAGCAAAATTCATGAATTTCTCCCTTTGAATTATCTCTAGTCTGATTAACTTTACACCATGGCACATGGGTTAATATTTCTACACATGGCTGCTTTATAAAATATGACTATAGCTTCAGTTTATCATAATGAAAAAAAAAATGAGAATGGACAATGGGAAGGCCTTCCTGATATGACGTATCAAGGGCTGATCAGATTTCTAGATGTTAAGAAGGAAGTGGGATTACATTACCCAAAATTCCCAAATGTTCTTCTGTTTCAGTCCTTGTCTTAAGGATCCTGAATGTACCATCAGTGTATTCTCTGAATACAGCTTTTTTGTATATGGAACCCAGGAATCCATCCTTATTGCTCAGGAAGATGTGACCATAACTAAAGGAATACAAAAAGTGGTATCAGCATTTGACCCTCAACCCCTCAGACACGGGGAAACTAAATCCACATCAACCTTATGATATAGATAGAAGAGGGAGGGGACTTGATAATGCTGGATTGCTCACCACAATGACTGTATAACCACAAATAAAGATGGGAGCTTTCAGTATTTACTGATGTTTTCTTATCCTCTACATAGGAATTTGAAATTCTCAATATAGTAAAAGTACCAGGCTAACAGTAAGCAGGACAAAATACAAGGTAGCTGGAGAGTACTAAAGTGCTGCTGCTGCTGCTGCTGCTGCTGCTGCTGCTGCTGCTGCTGCCGTTGCTGCTGCTGCTGGGAGGGGTGGGGAGAGGTAAAGAGGAAATAAAACTGTACAGATTTTTTTCTTGTGTAATTTTTTCTAGTTTTCAATCAGATGTATTATTAATTCTGTCACCTGACATTCCCAGCAGACCTATGAAGTAGGTAGGTCCCAAAGGTGATAGCAGCTCAGAGGTGATGGAACTTACCTAACATGATCGTTTCATCCTGCAAAGGGAGCCAAGACTTAGATCAAAGCATGTGGCTCTTTCCTTTCTTCCTCTATATTCAGGTTCTTTCAACTACACCACATCATTTTACAAGTGAATAAAACAAGGTCTAGAGAAAGGAAGTCACTTTTCTCAACTCAGGATAAATTATCAACAAAGTGCCATCCTCTAACAGCCAACATACAAGTGCAGGACAAAAACTGTAAAAGGACAATGAAGGCACTAGAAAATAATTTGTAATGGGGACTGCTGAATTATACCTCAGTTTCTATTCTCCCTTCCTTGTTCAGTAATAGAATTCTCTAGATTTTAGCTTGGCATATGGCTAACAAGATATTACATTTTTTAAACTACCATGTGGAATATCCATATGAGGTGTTCAGCACAATGAGGTGTAAGAGAAAGTGATTAATATAACTTTCAAGTAATTGCCTTATAGACAATACTCATTGCCTGGAGTTCCTTCCCTCTTCTTTATAGTTGGCTAAAAGTTCTTGACAGGGAAAGGCTAAAATTGGATGTATATCTTAATTCCAGAGATTAAAGCAAGTGTTAAGGGTGACCTAGTTCACCTATCAGCCCTAGACCATTTGTGTCTACACTGTTAATTGAGCAAGAAATACAATTCTATATTATGTAAGTCCTTTTGTTTGTATTTTCCTGTTATACAGCTTAATCTGTACCTTAATGAATGTAATGAAATTGTCAAGGTACAGTTGAACATTCAGTCTCCTGAGTAAAACTCTCTATACAAATTGTAGGTTTTAAGATAGATTCTTCTGGCTAAGCAAAGGAAGGAAAGTAAGACAAGAGATTGAGAGTATGGGCTGTGTCTTTTACTTCAGTCCTACAGTATTAGAGCAGGCTAGAAGAAACACTGAGCTGGAATTTAGAAGATTGCATTCTAATCTCTGTTATCAGATCTGTCAATATATTTATTATTATTATTACTGCTGTTGTTTTTAGTATATGTTGGTATCTTAATAAGTGACTGTAGATGTATCCTTCTTCATCTCTGAGTTTCAGTATCCTCATCTATAAATGATCTAGGTACTACGGAAGTGTAATCACTCCTTTTCTGAAACCTTACCTCTCCTCCCCAGACTGGTTGTGCCATTCCAGTTCCCAGCTTCTGTCAGGGCAATAGTCCCATTCTACTTCTTCTGCCATGATATAATAAATTCTTGCAGCCTGGTAGTGCTGACGAGGGGTATCTTGGTGCCTAGAACACTGGGAAACATTGTAGATAGCACTCATCCCTGCTTCTCGATGGTTGCCCTCTTGGCAATAAATCTCAAATGTCCCTGTGGGAAGAACAGTGAGAAAAATGACTCCATATACCCTAGGCAAGTGTCTGAAGGGTTTCCGTCTCTCTTTCAATATATTGCTGAGTGGGTAATCTTAAATAAAGTCATTTTATGCATAAGGAGCTCTGGTAGCATAGTGATTACGAATCGGGGTGCGAACCGTAAGGTCAGCAGTTCGAAACTACCAGCAGTTACGCGGGAGAAAGATGAGGTGTTCTGCTCCCGTAAAGATTTACAGCCGCGGAAACCCTGTACAGGGTCGCTAGGAGTTGGAACCGACTCCACGGCACACAGCCACCACCATGCATTAGGTAAAATATTTTTACAAGTTTATTGATAACAATAAGCACAGAGATTAAGATTTACAGCTTCAACATTATATTGTCAGGGTTTCAAACTAGGATGACCAACCCCTCCTGGTTTGCTCAGCACTTTCCCTGCTTTAGCACTGAAAGTCCCATATTCCTGGTGTGGTACAGTAAATTTACTTGATATGGTTCTTCCTTACTTAGTCCTCATAACTCCCACCAAATGATTGGTGTGTTAATGTGGTTGTTGTTAAGTGTTCAAAGCAACACTGTATAGGGCTTTCAAGGAGCAGCTGGTGAGTTTGAATTGTCAGACTTGTGGTTAGCTGTCCACAAGGACTTCAAATGGTTGGGTGGGATCATACAAATAGGGAATCTGGGACTCTAATGCCTGCATCAGTTTTACCATCCCACTAGGTTTAAATAAGGGACCGCTAGAAGCGTAGTGCTTACGAATCGGGCTGCGAACCTTAAGGTCAGCAGTTTGAAACTACCAGCCGCTCCGCGGGAGAAAGATAAGGCTTTCTACTCCCGTAAAGATTTACACCCTTGGAAACCCTGTGCAGGGTCGCTATGGGTCGGAACTGACTTGACGGCACTTAACAACAACAACAACAACAGGTTTAAATAGAGCCATCTCAGAAGCAGAAATAGAATATTCTAGGACTTTCAAGAGAAAAGAACCATGAGAGAAGCACCGGATCCTTGCTCAGAAAAACAGTGCAGCAGAGGCAGCAGCAGGAAGAGATAGAGCTTCAGGTTTCCTGGCTCACTGACTGAATGAGGCTGAGCAGAAGTCTGGCTTGTAGAATGGGGTGCCTTTTATGCAGTTACCCATAGGGCTAAAGGAGCTTGTAACACTTGCTGAATAGGGAGGCAGCCAAGGGGTCAGGTGGCTGAGAGGCTGAGGATTAAAGAGGCATGCATGAAGTACAGTTGAGAAGAGGCTCTCCTGACCAGAGAACTGCTGTATCCTGAGTTATTTCTCATCCTGAATTGCACCCTGCTAGTTTATCTAATGAATGCAGTGCTGGTGTGGCACTGTAGGATAAACATGGCCCAAAAGGTCATTGGAATTGTAAGGTCAGCTGTTCAAACTCCCCAGCCACATTTCAGAAACCCTATATAGGATCATTATGGGTCAGAACAGACTCAATGGCACTTAACAGAAACAACTACTTCTCTAATAGTAGTCCTGGTGTGGTGCTACAGGATAATGCACCGGACCTCAAGGTCAGTTTGAACCACAAGGTAGGCAGTTCAAACTCACCAGCCACTCATTGGAAACCCTTTACAGGATCGCTATGTTGTTGTTGTTGTTGTTAAGTGCCGTCGAGTCGGTTCCGACCCATAGCGACCCTGTACAGGGTTTCCGAGGGTGTAAATCCTTACGGGAGTAGAAAGCCTAATCTTTCTCCCGCGGAGCGGCTGGTAGTTTCGAACCGCTGACCTTAAGGTTCGCAGCCCGATTCGTAACCACTACGCTACCAGAGCTCCTTAGGATCGCCATGTGTCGGGGCCAATTCAGGGGTACTTAACAACAACAACACAACAGTTTCTGTAATAGGACTTATGGTATGGCACTGTAGGACCAATAGTGGACTATGAGGCACTCAGTTGACAGTTCAAACCCACCAGCTGCTCCTCGAAACCCTATACAGGGTAGTTATAAGTTGAAATTGACTAGATGGCAATTAACAACAGAAACAACACCTTCCAGTTAAGATCAATATAACTTGAGACAATTTCTAAAGCTCTGTATGTTTTACTTCCCTCATTGGTAAAATGGGGATCATTTTACTTTGTTGGATTGTTCTAAGGTCAAACACAATAATGGGTGCATAAGGAGCTCTGGTAGTGTAGCAGTTACGAGTTGGGCTGCTAACCTGAAGTTTAGCAGTCCGAAACTATCAGCTATTCTGCAGAGAAAGATAAGGCTTTCTGCTCCTGTAAAGGTTTACAGCCTCGGAAACCCTATACAGGGTTGCCATGAGTGGAACTGACAACACGGCACACTACCACCACCACCACCAGTTTTTAACACAATATATAGTAAATGTAAATTAAGTTGTTATAATTATTATTCCAAGGAAAATATCGACTAACTAATGCCCTTTTCTACCAGGTACCTAAGAAATAAAAGTGGGCTTAAATAGTTAGATATAACAAAGGAACTTCTTGGTCACAAATATCCTCTTATAAGAGAGCTTTGGAAAGAACTTTCTCAGTAGATTTTTACCCTAGAATACTGAAATGTCAATTTTAAATGCTTGAATGGTGAAGCTGCCTGGAGCAAATCTCAATCTCTGGATTTCTATGTCAAGAACACTTGGTCTCAGAGAATGCTTATCAGGATAAGATAATTTTCTTAGACTATTACATTCATAATTCACTTTCCTTGCTTCCAAATACCTATTTGGGCTCAAGACTAGAGATTAGAGCTTTTCTAATTCAAATGTTCCCCATTCTCTCCTCATTGCAAGCACTTGTTCTCTAGTTCTTTTCAGCTCCACTAATGGCCATTCTTGACTAAGAAAGTAGCCCAAATTGTTGTTGTTGTTAAGTGCCCTTAAACTGCTGACCTTGCTTTACAAAAGACTTTACACCAGAGCATTAACCCACAGCATGACACCAGGACTCCAAAATTGTTGTTGTTAAGTACTGTGGAGTCAGTTCAACTCATAGTGACTCTGCACAGGGTTTCCAAGGCTGCAAAGAAGAGGGGTAGAAATAAAGACCCAAGAAATCTGGGAAAACCAGATGGATTGTTGAATCCAGTGCTAGGTTGTATTTTACATTGTCGAGATGAATATTTTTTTAATGGATTTTTTCTCTCTCTCAGATCTGAATAGACTTTACAGACCAAAAATATAATTATTTTGGTGGAAATTGCATGGAATGGCTATTATTTTGGTTACAATCACTTTCGCCATCTACTGGCTAAGAAAATAACATACTTAAGAACTTAAAAGTAAGAGTGAATCTGAAGAAAGATTCTAGTTAAATATCTTCATTACAAAAAGGACGAAGGCAAAGGAAGGAGGGGAGGAAAACAGAGTGAAGCAATGATTGGAACAAAATTACAAAGCAAGTTAACAAAGAAGTTCATATGTTCTGATTCCTGGGCTAAAAATATTAGTTCCCCTTCTCTCCAGAAGTAGAGGAGTTTTCAAAGATCCTCACAGAATTTCAGAGTTGAAAGTACTTCTAGGTACTTCTCCTCAACCTCCCTTCCAATGCTAGACTTGTTTCTGTATAATCTCTATGTGGCCAAGAGGCTATTTAGCCAAGTCCACCCTCTGTTCATAGAAGAACTATCTGACGCTTAGCAGCATCCATGTTTCTCTCCTGTTGTTCTTGAAAGGAGTTTCCTCTACCTTCTATCCACTCTATTCTGCTTACTGTTGAGAATAACATCTAAAATAACAGAACATGAAGAGCATATTGAGGAGGAAGATGGCAAAGAATTTGGAAAACTTTCCCAGGACTCTTAACATACCTCTTGTTGTCTCTTCACTAATACCCACACCCTCACTCAACAAAAGTTTCTGAGCCCAGGACCAGCTGCTAAGGCACTTACCAGGGTTGTCAGGCTGCATGATGGCTGTGAGAAAGGTGTGTGGAAAGAGCATGGCTGCACCCTTCCTCATGCCCTGAAACTGCACAGTGTTGCCCTGGAACATGACCCCATGCACATCAGTCTCTGTGCCCAGGCCAAGCAGGTGCCAGGACACCATGTCACCCTTGCACATGTCCAGCCTGGGCAGGTTAGAGAACAGAAACCCGTTAATAGCTGGAAAACAAGAAAACAAAGCAGAATTGACATATAAGACTCAAGTAGCAACGAACACCATGGCATCAATTCTGTACTGTGACACTGCCAAGTCATCCTCAGCCCCACTATCTTCTTCCCTAAACCACTTTGTTTCTATACTTATGAAGAACTAAAAAATATATTTGCCTCTCCCTCTACATCCCTTGTGGCCACTCTACACAAACAGATTGGTCTCAACTTTCAAATGCTGCTCCACTTTGCACCAATATGAACTCCTCTTTTTAGTCCCATTCCTTCACAGCATCCTCCACCCTGTCTAAGGCTACATTTTCTAAAACGAAACAAAAACTCAGTGACCAGATCTTTTTTTTTTTTTTTTTTTGAAGCCCTTCAAGGGTTCCCCATCATCTATAAAATGAAGTCCTGACTCTTTATCCTGGTGCTCATGTCTCTTTGGCATCAGGGTCAAAATAGTCTTTCTGGACTCATCTCTTGCCTCTATTTCACCATGCTTCATATCTTGGCAACACTGAACTACTCTCCACTGCAACAACACTCCCTCTCCCAACCAGAGTACCAAACTATTTCCTCTCCCTTGAAATTTTCCTTCCTTGACTTCTATTGTTCCACACTCCTGATGCTTTTCTAACTTCTATGATTATTCCTTCTCCATCTTTTTCTCATTCTCCATGCCCTCCATAAGTGCTGGAGTTTTCCAGGATTACATCCTCAGCTTTTAATCTGTCTCCTCTTCTTCATCTTTACTACCACTGCCCTGATTCTTTCACTCATCCTCTCTGGCCTGAACTTCAGTACCCCTGCCTACAGTCTGTTGCCCTTTTTATACACACACACACACACACACACACACACTATCATCCTGTGAACTCTATTTGTGTCTGCATCCACAAGGC